CATGTATTTTTATTTATCAAAATAATAACTATATAATAAGGTATATTCACAACAGTCTCATTTCCATCCCTATCCCCTCCAACCCATAAAGGCAATCATTTCTTAGCAGTTTCGAGTTTATTCTTCCATTGTCTTTTTTTTTTGAGACAGAGTCTCAAGTTATCGCTCTGGGTAGAGTGCCATGGCGTCACAGCTCACAGCAACCTCAAACTCTTGGGCTTAAGTGATCCTCTTGCCTCAGCCTCCCAAGCAACTGGGACTACCAGCCCTCACAACAACGCCTGGCTATTTTTGGGCTGTAGTTGTCATTGTTGCTGTCATTGTCATTGCCAGTTCCAGTGTATGTGGCTGTTGCCCTAGCCGCTTGAGCTACAGTAGCCAAGCCCCATTGTCTATCTTTTAAATATGTGTATTTTTTATCTCCCCATTGCTCACACATAAGATAGCACAGTATTGCTTGCTTCAGCAACACACATACTAAAAGTGGAATGAGAAGAAAGCATAGTATAAACAACAGCACACACCTTGCTTATTTCTCTTAACTATATATATGGAGAGCACTCCATATTAGTATTTGCTTATTAGTACATGTAAGAAATCTTCCACATATATTTAATGGCTACACAGCATTTTTTCTTTTTTATAAGAGACAGAGTCTCACTTTGTCACCCTCAGTACTCTGCCATGGCTTCACAGCTCACAGCAACGTCCAGCTCTTGGGCTTAGGCCACTCTCTTGCCTGGGAGAGGTGCCCACCACGCCAGCCTATTTTTTGTTACAGTTTGGCCAAGGCTGGCCTTGAACTGGTGAACTCCAAAACTCTGCCTTTTGAACCCACCACCCTCGGTATATGGGTAGGTGGGTAGGGTGACCAGATTTTAACATTTATAAAGTGGGGGGGGGGGGGGGGGGGAGGGGCAGGGACTGGGGAGGGGGCGGGGCAGGGGGCAGAGCAGGGCAGGGCCTGACAACAATGCAAACTTTGATAAGCAGTTCTCGATAATAACTTTTCAACAATTATTTGTGATTATTACAGTTTAACACTATAAAATTAACAAAAATAATATAAAACTCATATTCTGGCAAAATAGCCACATGGCAGCAGAAAACTGTAGATTCCCTTCCTGTTCTCCCACCTGTTTGTGCATTCTTTCCAAAAATTGGGACTTTTTAAAAATGCCACAGGACGCCAGACAAATTGTTAAAAAGCAGGACATCTGGTCACCCTATATATGGGGCCAGTGCCCTACTCACTGAGCCACAGGCACCGCTCATGGCTACATAGTATTTCATCCTGTGTTATAGTATATACAATGTATTCAACCAGTTCTTTTTTTTTTTTTTTTTGAACCTGCCACCTCTGGCTTATGGGACCATCGCCCTACCCTTTTGAGCCACAGGCGCTGCCCCCAACCAGTTCTTTTTTTTTTTTTTTTTT